ACCTCCCAACCCCCCTCCTCTCTCTCTCTCCTCTCTCTTATTCTGTAGGTAATGTGTTGATACATTTTTATAAAATCTTTCAAACACTATACAGTTCACCCTCAGAATAATTCAAATTCAACTGTTTCTATGGGGTTCCTGTTTATTTACAGCATTTAAATGATAACATAAAAGTTTTTCACTCACTTGTATCTTTGCAATAGATTGTTGCATAATTTATATACAACCATATACTTACTGTTTTTGAAAGCTCCGTACATGCATAAACTCACAGTAGATGTGGTTGGTTACTTGTGCAATATGAAGCCAGTCAAAATTCCAGCATAGATAAGGAGAGACACAAATGTCCCACTCCCATGGAAGGAGCTATTGATAGTTGATAGTTACTGAGGGAAGGAAGTCTCTTTCCTTTGGACTTTGGAAATGTGGCAGCTGGTAGGTTGCTCATGCTCTGGTGGATAGCTTCATACCCATGTATGGGAAGAACTGGTTGGATTCAGAACATTGTTAATAACAAAGCAATACATTAAAAAGAGGAAATAAAGCTGGGAGTGAGAATGGGTAAAGGACATCATAAGGAGTTGGGGAGAAGTAGTGGTGTAATGGATATGTTCATAATGAAGTAATTTGTCAAGTATATACCTAATAAAACTAGACAACTAAGCTAGAGGTAACTTTTACCTTCTTGTTTTGATTTTTCACTTTGTATTAGTATACAAAATCAGTATATTAAAATTAGATTTGGTAATAAGAGATTTAAAGCAAGAACATTGACTCATTCTAGATTCATAAAAATACCATTGTTGAATTAGCTTCATTTATTTTATTTTTGTAGCTGTATTAAATCTTGAGAACTTCGTGCATGTATTTTGATCATATTCATTCCATTCCTCCTGGTAATTCCTTCCAGATCCGCTCTCACCTTCCTACCACACTCAACTTTGTGTCCTCCTTTTATTTTAACAAACCATTGTTTTTAATTTGCCTCTATATATGCCTAAATGTGGGGTTAGCCATTGCAGCAGGCTTGACCCACCAGGAGCTGCTAAAAGAATACTTAATTAAAGCTGACTTTAATTAAAATTGACCAATTCTTCATCTCTAATGCAAAATGTTCCATTAGTAGAGATCCATACTTAAAAAAAATGTTTTCTGAATGGTCATAGTTTAGAAGATATTTAATGATTACTAAACTTGAAGTGATAGAAAAGCATCTTCCTGCTTGTGTAATTCTTCATTACATTTCCAGCATCACTATGAACACTGGATCTCTGCTAGATTGCCCTCTAAAAACAAACACTTCTGGAATTTCGAGAGTGTCACTGGCTCCTGAATGAGGCAATTCATGTACTCAACAGCTCAGAGACCCTTTGAGATGAACAAGTGCATCTTGGGGGAACTTGGTCACCCGTTCATTCATCCTGTGTTCGAGCAAGTTACTTACTAGCCATCTGTATTCCAAGAGCATGAATTACTTCTTTCCCCATTCACTTCCAGTTGTGCACTCACCATGAGCATCTAATTCATGTGCCCATTATTTCATCTGCAGATAGCCTAAAATATGGACATTTGCTCCGAGTCATTGGCTTTTGTGTGTACACAGTCACTTCAGCCTCGGTCACAGCAGCAGGGTTCCTTCATATATGCTCCAGATAAGAAATATGAATGGTCATCTCCAAAAGAGAGTGACTATAACTTTATATTGATATAATCATGATGTCACCAAACCCAATATTATCTAAGTCATTCATTTTATTTCATTTTACTTAAAATAGTGTATGAATCTCCTAAGCCATTGAAACAGTGTAAGATAACTTTGGGGCTACCCTTTTGGACATTACCATTTTTTATTTTAGAGTTTTAAGAGAAAGATACATTTTAGCTGTTGGGTCAGTGTTACAGGTTTCACTCTACTCACTTTTCAGTTCTCATTTGAAACCATATTGTTTGGAAAGAGATTTAGGAACAGTCTTAGTATATATCAATTGCACACAAAATAACTGATTTCACTATGAGATTTTCACTCATGTGTAAGGTGTGATCATATTCTCTTCTTTTCTCTTGTCTCCTACCATTTCCAGATGATCTCTCTTCCCTGTAGTCCCCCTTCTACTTTCACATCATTGATTTATTTTTCTAAATTAGATTATCATCTAACCTCCCTTGACTGTTATTCACACCTTGCTTTTAGCTCACTGGAACCCAGCTCTTCACGTATACAAACAGTTTCTCATATACTCTTCCTCTTGCCTGTTATCAAAGAAGCCCTTAATCTGATTATTGATACAAACCTAGTACTTAGATATCTAATTTTGTTTGGGTAAAAGAACTAAACTATGTTTGCCATAAAATTCCATTTATCTTTTACTGTCCCTTATGTGTATCTATAGAGGAAGTAAGTGATGATCATTTGTTAACAAAATTGTTTAAAAATTATTTTCGCTTTCTACTAACTCCAATAGCTGTGCAACATTTCTGTTGCAAGTTTTTATTTTTTTTCCTGAAACAGGTTCTCACTATTTTGCCCAGGCTGGCTTTACACTTCTTCCTGCCTTATCCTCTCAGGGTTTTGGGATTATTGGCATGAGCTACCATACTTGTCTATGGCATATTTTTTGTTGTTATTTTATTTTTATTATTTAAAGCAATGTTTAAATTTAAATATATTTTAGTCATTTTCTTCTCCTCCCCCAAGTCCTTCAAGATCCTCCTACCCACGCAATTTTAAGTTGTTTCTCAAAAAACAAAAACCCAATACCACAGCAATGCTCCCCTAAACTAAGAAAATAAAATAAAACACACCCACAATATAAAAGTAAACACCAAACTGTAATCAAATAAAAACACACAATAAAAACTGTGAATTCCATTATATGTTGGTCAACTACTACTGAACATGAGGACTCTCCTGGAGTGGTTGATATACCCAATGTCATTCTATTAGAGAAACTGATCTCTCAGCAGTTATAAGTGACAGTTCAGTTGTTAGCTTTAGTGGCTAGGCTTTTATTCATTCATCAAAGATGATTATAGTATGTGTTCAGTTATATGTGGATATTAGCTGTGCAGTCTATGATAACCAAGCTACAATCCATAGAACCATAAGGGTAGCTAGTGACTAAGAGTCTGGTCCTCTCTCCATAATGAATTGTGTTACTTTGTCAGGCATCTCTTTGACCAAAGCTACAGCCAGTGATTCCCACTGACATGATTTCCAGGGCCACACTACAGTTCTATAACCTTGAGGTTTTCTTTTGCATTTCCCATCTTCCATTCAAAATCCCAATAGCATCTCCTCCTTGATGATATGAACTAGTGATAAAAATAATAGACCCTCTGCCAAATCAACATTTATCAACTGCCCATTGCTCTACAATAAGATAGTGTATTCACAGTCAATAACAGAACAACAAAGTGATATATTACAATATATGTAATATATATTATACAGATACATCATAATTATCTTAGAATTCTACCTTCATCAGTAAAGCAGATCTATAGTTAAGGATCTTTCAATTGCTAAAATGCCTGTTTCTGTGAGACTGGTCCTTATCGTAGCAGTACATACTGCCCTTTCCCAAGAAAATGATCCAACAGATAGCAAGTTTTTACTTCATATGAAAACCAAAGAGAGTAAGATGTGGAAGGAAAGTGTGCTGTCCATTAAAACAGAAAATTATTTTATTTAACAGATCTTGGTGCATTTAAGCAACATAATGAGGAAATGGCTAGACAGTTAAAGCACTTGCCACTTAAGCAAAAGGACAAGAGTTAAGATCCCCAAACCCACGTAAGTGCCAGGTTGGTGTTATGTCTCTCCTGTAACCCAGCCTTTGAAGGTGGAGTAGGGGATCCCTAAGCATGCAAGCTAAGGAGACAACTCATATGGACAAGATCTGGGTTTCAGTGTGAGACCCTGCATTAATGGATAAGATGGAAGAAAGTTAAGGGAGATTCCTGATAGCAATTTTGAGCCTTCACATGTATATCCATTCATACACACACGTGCGTGTGCGGGCACACACACGCACAGACACACAGTCACACAAAATGTGTATACATGAAAAAACCAAAACTATAAAAATAAATAATAAATTATGATAAAAAGCAACATAATGAAAAAATGCCAGTTCTACTGAACCTGAGTAAGAGAACATTTTCAGTGTTCCTTTCATAGAATACACACACACACACACACACACACACACACACACACACACACGCTCATTATGAGAACTCTCATGAACTTCCCTGGACACACAAAAGAGTTAAACCAGACATTGGCCTGTTAGAGAAGAGTGGGTCAGATTTGGAAAGGTGTATGTTCCTTAAAGTGAGATTTACATCTAACGGAAACCATATAGCACTGATGAGTGAGTTCAAAGAAATACACTCACTTTATATCCATGAAGTTCCCAACAATTCAGAATATTTATTTTGTCTTGATTTTTTTTTTTTTTTTGAACACTGAGATTGAAATCAGTTGAGGGAAAACTTGTTTCCAAGATTCTTTTCAATTTGCTTCTGTGGCAATGTAGTCAAGCAACCTGTTTGGAAATAATCTATTTGCAGAAGCTAGGTGGGGAAAAAGCTGCCACATTATATAATTCACTGAGCGAGTTTTGGCTCCCACTCTGCCAATCCATCTTAAATAGTGGCTAGTGCCCTGCATCTCGCTATACATATGATCAAGCAATTTAGCAGAAAAAGAGAAAGGCCCTGCGACTTGGCATCCCCGTGGACATTTATCTTTGAGAAAACCAAATGGAGCCAACTTTTGCCAGAGTTTAATAGCAAAGCTGTCACATTTTACACAAATGAGTATTGAAGTCTGTTGGCAAATGGGAAGGGGGTGGGGATCAGGGGAGTGGAAGAGGAGGGACTGCTGACTGCACTCTTTTCAAAGTGGCTCCAGTTTTTAGGGGAGGGGCCAGCTGCTTTGCTTGGCAGGGGAGATGAAGTAGTTAAAATGATTGCTAGCTTGGGATTGGAACCCCAGGCTCTGGGTGTATATAAGACGGTGCAGCCAGCGCAGAGCTGCTCTTGCTGCGGCTGCTGCTGTTGGAGCCAGGACCAGGGTACACGGGCTCAACCTCTTAGGACACAGAGACCAGAGAGGGAAGCGAAGAGGGCTGCTTAGATCTGCGCTAGGGAATCCTGGTTCACCTTTGCAATAGAACCCCTAACCCTGTCCCCTGCCCCCAGACACACGCCCACGGTCTCTTGCACTCCAGCCCAGTGCCGCACGGGGCACCCTGGCAGCAGGTCCCCGCTGAAGGCGATGCTTACAGGGATCCTAGCTCCTGTTCTGGGAAGGAGGAAGTAGTATCCAGCAGAAAAGCAAGGAGGTTGCTGGCTAGAGCCGCGGGTGACTGTGCTGCGGGAGGACACCGCCTTTGCTCCGCCGGACACCTGCTGCAGAAGTCTCGCCACCATGATCCGCATGGTCTCGCTGCTGCTGGGAGCCACGCTGCTGCTCTGTGGCCAAGGAGCCTTTGCCCGACGGGTGGTCAGCGGTGAGTCAGGGCAGGGGTACTGTCCACCCAGCGGAAGACAAGGGACTTGGGACTCTGGGGCAGTAACAGGCAGTTTGCATTAGGGTGGGGACTCCCCAGAGAGTTGGAAAACTGGACTGAGTAAGGCTTCCAGAGAGATGGTGAAAAACGTGTTATCCTTTTCTTTCCCCTTTCTCTCCGCAAAGCAGAAAGTTTTAGTTTTTTGGGGGAAGCGTCCTCTCTAGCTGCGGAGCAAACGCTAGCTAAATCCGGGGCAGCATGGTCTCTTCAGCACCGTTTTCCACTTTCTTTGGAAGACTGTGAGTGGATCACAGGCAGGCAGGGTTGGGCACCTGCGGAAGGGGTGTGGTCGAGCCAGGCAGACAGAGCCTGGAGGCTAAAAAGCTGCAGCATGAATTGCCACCTCCTGCTGGTCTGGTTTCAGTCCCGCCAGGGTGCTCTCACAAGGATGGCTTCTGAGACCAGCCCAGTTCAGAGGTCTGAGTTTGCAGCCTTTGTTCTCAGGAGGACTGCACTGTCGCCTTCTTTTTTACATACTTCCTTCCCTAGTTAGACAACTCAGGAAACTGAGTCAACTGCAGTTGGGTCCAGGTTTGGTTTGGTGGGTACTTGGTAACGATCTGGGTCTGTGTATCCCGCAGCTGCACAGTTAAGTCTCTCAAATCGGTAAAAGGGAAATAGGTTAAAATTATCAAGCTTCCTAGCTTTGTCTGCCCCCCCGCCCCCCCCCCCCCCCCCCCCCCCCCCGAGCGTCTGTTGTCTAATCTTTGAGCAATTCACATCATACCCACCTCCCCTCAGTTTGGGGAAGTCTCCTAAGGCTATAGACTCTTCAGTGGCTGAGATGAATGTGAACAACCCTGCTCATGGCAGCTGTACAGTTAGTTATGCATAGAGAAAGCTCTTGCTAGGCTCATCAAACAGCGGCAACGGGTTTGGTGAATGTAGTAGAGTATTGTTTTAAGGATAAAGTCTTTGCATCTAACATACAAGGCAAACGCGGCCCACTGAAAGCTTGTCCATCAGCCTAATAGCTGTTACTTCTAGATGTGAGACGACAGTAACTTAGAGTTTAGAAACAGGTCTTTAGGAGCTAGTATGTTAAGCCTGCCTCCGATCGTCTCAGCAATTCATGCATTTCACTCAGTCAGATACAGTTCTTAAATGTGCAGGTAAGCAATTAGTCTCCACAGGATGTTCAGAGCCTATGAGTTTAAATTCTTTTCCTTCCCAATTTAGCAGAGAATAAAGAACTGCGTGGAGATCTCTCTGGTGGAACCAACTAACTATACATTTCACTAGCTTTGTTTTCAGGAATTTTTTCACATAAATAAATGAACAGCAAGAGACTATGCTTTGAACATATGGCATTTTTAGACAAGCAGGAGCATTCCACTAATTTAAAAAATGTTTCTTTGTTGTATTCTTATTTATATGCCTTAAAGTTCCAAGGGGGGAGGGGGAGATCCAGGGCAGAAAATAGAACTCAAGCACTTTGTTGATGGAAAGTTTAATTTTCTTTGTACTTCTACACAAATTAGTCCAAAACTTGGGCTATGCTTTTCTTTAGCAATTCATGGGCATCTGGAAGATGACATCTGGAACATTTCTGAGTAACTGAGCATGATTTATTCGATTTAGTATAAATGATGATGTTGACTTGAGATTAGAACAATTAGTTATGTTTTTCTTATGAATAATTTGATTGTCTTTGCATTGAAATTTATCTATCTATACACTGATTTATGAATAATTCTAGCTGTGATGGGTTGAGCAGAGAGCAGCCTTTAAAATCTGTTATTTTTGAAGCAATATTTCCTAACAGTCCACTGTCAGCCTGTTGATATTTGTTCTGAATGGTGTAGCAACCATTTTATGCCACTAGGGACCAGTTACCCTGTCCCTTCTCAAGTGTCTGAAGAGAAGTGAGACAGCTTCTTTGCTTTCCACTGTTTGGAACATACTTAGAACACACGGAAAATAATTTCTACTTGTTATATTTCAGGACAACCATTTATAATTCCTTTGGACTATCAAATAATCACTTACCCTCCATATCCTCAAAAGACAGACACTGGCAAACTTAATATCTAGATATGTTTTTCATGTTTCAAAACATTCAACAAGATACATTCTAATGCTTTTAAGCACATTAATTTATGGTGAAAATGGTTTAGTTATTAAATACATTTCCTGCAACTTTGCCATCAGCTGATCTGCATAAGAGTTAATAGTATCCGATGTAACAGGGCAGTGCACAGAGACACACAGAGAACTCTGATGATAATAATCAGTGTATTTACTGAATTTGTGATTCCTGCTGGGAAACTAATTTGAGGATCTGAATTGTATGGTGATTTCTAACTTCACACAGATGGGTGGGGGACATCTGTTGCATCTCTTTAATCATTCAATTCAGAAAGTCACTAGCTGGTAATCACATTTTTCTTCTGACAAAGTTTGAGGTTTTTCTTTATGGTAAAATATGAAAATGGGGCATTAAAACTGAAGTCTCTGTGAGAGAATATGTCTTGAAAGCAAGTGACATTTTATTTTAAAACATTTGAAATATTTTAATGAAATCTTTGCTTTTTCTTTCTTTTTTTTCTTAGAGTTTGGATCACTAGTTCCCAACATCCTCAGGCTGCAATGTGGCATTAACCATATTCAAGGCATCCCTCAATTTCTCCAGAACTCTCTTCCATATACAGTCTTAACTCTACTACAACTGAGATACACTTTGTCTGAGAGACTAAGGGAAAACAGACCTTTAGAAACAAGGTTACAAGGCCTGTGACTAACTACCCCACAGCAATTCATGTGCTTCACGGAGTCAGACATAATTTTTAAATGTACAATTAACCAATCACTCTCCACTTTCACCAGAACGTTTGGAGTCTCTGACTCTAAGTCCCTTTCCTCCATAATTTAGCAGAAAATAAAAAGTTCACTGTAGAGAGGTCTAGTTAGTGGAACCAGTTATATGCAGATTTCTCTTTTTATCATGTAGAGAACACAGAATATTACATAAGTGGTGACCAGTAAGTAGCTTTAAAAGGTAATTTAATAGTAAGAAAGATGCAAGTGAAACTGCAGAGCATGTTCTATCTTAGAGAAAAATCCCATGACATCATCAAAGCAGAAAATGATGATAGTGCAGATCTCAAAGATGCAATTACTTTAAGTATCTCTTGGGCAAGAAGGCAGCAAATTAATCTTATTACTAAGCATTTAATAAACTACCCATTTATCACAGGCATTGTTCCTTAGTGGCTGTTCATCATTATCATATGGTGGCACTCTCTGTACACGAACGCTAAAACTGGCTCTGTAATTTAAAAAGGACTCTGAAGGGGAAATACAGCTGATGCATCGTTAGTAATTTTTACTACTTACATCTCCCTTCTGTGTTAGATTTTCACATACAGGTGCATTCATATAGATAACTGTGAGGTGAACTTTTTAAAAAAAAACTGTTTTAATGTAGTGCTGCTGGAACAGCACCCCATGATATTTTGACTATAGTGATAGTTTTTATATCGGTGATGACATTCAATTTAGGCTTTAATTGTTTTATTGAGAAAATAAAAGAACAGATGACACATCATTTCTATATCTATGTATATGTCTATATACATATATTCAAAGATAGAAGTGTCCTTAAATTAACTCTCATCTAATTATTATTCAACATGAAAAGTACACACTCAAAAACAATTTCTCAATAGACAATCCTGTGCTTTTACCAGCATTCAGTAACTAACCAATGGCTATATTAAATCAATGTCTCTAACACAGAATAGATTCATGGCACATACATTTATCAAACCCTTTATTCATAAAGTCTGTTGCTTGAGACACATGTGGAGAAGCATAGACATCATGGAAAATGGGCAGCATCAGCATTGAGACTGTCTCCAAACCCAAGTGTGCAGTTATGATCTGTGTGAACTTGGACAAACTTTTAAACTCTGTCTGTGTCCCCTTTCAAAGATAGGATGAGAAAGTCTACATCATACAGTGGCTTGAAGGATCAAAACGTTTTGATACAATTAGTGCCTTGTGCATGTAGAGAGGGTAGGAGGAGGGGCTTAGCTTGGTAAGTAACTTAGAGTTGAGTTTTCTAGAGGCGAAGGTAACTTTTCTAGTTGAATAGCTTATAAGAAGGACCTCTTAGTTATATGTCAATGGATTCTGATTTCCCACTTCCTCTAAAGACTCAGTTTTTTCACTTCCTCTGAAGGTGTGAATTGTACTGGAAGTGAAGTCTCATATTTCAAATTATTGTTCAATATCAGACAATTATTATCATTAGTTCTATGAAACATATAGCCTATATCAGTTTTTAAGGAAGCAGAAATGACCATGGAAGTTTTGTTCATTCTAATTACCTGCAGTTCTGCGGGACTTAAGGTACTTCTTTTTGATTGGCTGTTTAAACTCTCAAGTCATATTATTATGAACCTTCATTATGGATGGTTTCCATTCATAATATTTATATCTATTTCAAATATCAGGATGTGGACTCTGAGGTCCCTCCCTTCTCAGAGAGCTGGTGGTGTTTCTTGGGGGAGGAGTAAATAAGAAAGACTGGGGCCACCACCATCCCTGAAGTGACCCACGATGGCAAATTTAATTTTTCTCAGTGTAAGAGAATAGATGCCAGCTATTGTGCACTCTGCAATTAAATGAATCCTGAAACTCATCTTGCATAAGTAATTTAATTTTAATAAATCTGTCTTAACTTCAAATGAAAATTCTTAAGAAATTGATGTACTCTTGAGAATTGCAAATAGAACACTTACAGTAAACAATATTCTCTTTTACTTAGTTCAGGATAATTGTCTTTGTTCTCAGAGATCATGAGATTTATGTATTTCAACACCACCACATGTTTTAGTGTGTTTTGAGGGAGATAGGAAAGAATTATGGTAAAGATTTTTTTTGGGGGGGGATTATAGTAATGAATCTTAAGTTTTACCAATCTGGTTTAGGTGAGATTTATCATATTGTCCCTTTTTTACATTTTCATTATTTTTCAATTAAAGGTTAATCATAACAGAAGAAAATAAATTTATAATTTTTTACTATGTTTCTATTGAACAACATGTAATAATTATTTAATGTTGGTTATCATTTATTATAGTAAGAGGGATAAGGGTAAGTTTGACAACCTCATAGCTGCAGAACATTCTACAATAAATAATTTGAGTAAAGTAAAACCAAATTGTTGTTCCTATTCAAGAAGAAGAAACATTGTCATAACTTCATGAGTTTACTTTGAAGCCAATTTCAAGCTTTGCTAACATTTATCATTTTTCATAACTATGAAAAACCAAAATTCTTATTTATAGAAATAATAACAATATTAATTGTGACAATGATAGAACTGTTTAACAGCTATTAATAAAAATTTTCTGTATATAAAAGAACATATCTAGGTTTGTGGCTCAGTGTGGTCCCCTGTATTTACAAATCTGATAGGGGTGAATATTTCTTTCTATAATTCTATGCAAATTCACTTTGAGAAAATTTAAATTTGTAAATAGTTCTTCGATTTGGAGATTATTTAGTTTTAGGTGCACATCCAGAGTATTTTCATAAAAGTAATTACACAAAGCCATCTTGAACTTTTCCTTTTAATAATGTTTCTAGAATCTGGAGTGGAAGGTCTTTGTACATAAGCCAAAACTAAGTAATTTTCAACTAGAGATTCTGAATTGAGACTTCTTCATAGCTATGCATGTAACCCTAGAGTAGCATAAACCACTGTATGACTTTTAGAAAGATTACCATCCCCAAAATATTTCTGAAAGATTTTATTTGAATATGATGTTTAAAAGCAAAAGTCAGGGAAAGTTTTCATGTGAACAACCAGGGCAAGGAGGGAGGTCATCATAATTGTTCTCTAGGAAGGCTGGCTTTTCTGGGAGTTGAGAAAGTCACATCAGAAGACATGCATTAGCAGAACTTGTCTGGGAATTAGGGCAACATTTGTTTCCCAGCTGTTCAAGTTCCACTGTGATCACAGCCAAATGGGATCAGCGAAAGTGCAGCAGCAAGCCCCGTAGCTCCAGCTTCTGCTCATTTTGCCACAACTTGGGCCAAATGTGCACAATAAGGTAGAAATCAGTAGTAAAGTAGAATTATATGTAAAGGTATTCACCCTGTCAGCACTAACTGATTCTATATGAGCCATAATAATTGCTCAGTGTGTCTGTAATTTCCTGGAAACTGCCTTGCTCTCCCTGACCTGGTAGTAGCTTTTTAGTTCAAACATGAAGACTCAGCTGATACTCACCGAATGTCCTTTGGGGTTAACATATCTGTTCCAGCTGATAAAAGGCTTCTGTCTCGATCCCCTCAAGAGTCCTCTTTCTTGCAGCCATCATCATCTTTGTACATTTATTGGGGTCATGGATTACTCCATCTATAGGGAAAGGCTGCCTGATACAGAGTGCCAAGGTTTGTAGCTGGAGTTTTCCTGCCTGGCCCACAGTCAGGGCAAATCTCTCTCACCCGCCAGTCCCAAGCCACTCAAACCCGATCAAGTAAACACAGAGACTTATATTGGTTACAAACTGTATGGCCGTGGCAGGCTTCTTGCTAACTGTTCTTACAGCTTAAATTAATCCATTTCTATTAATCTATACCTTGCCACGTGGCTTGTGGCTTACCGGTACTTTACATCTTCCTTGTCCTGATGGCGGCTGGCAGTGTCTCCCTCACCTAGCTTCCTGTTCTCTCAATTTTCCTCTCTGTTAGTCCCACCTATACTTCCTGCCTGGCCACTGCCAATCAGTGATTTATTCATTGACCAATCAGCAACACATTTGACATACAGACCATCCCACAGCAAAGGTTGGCACTTTTCCCCAGGACCTATGTAGCATCAGTTGTGAATTATTTAAAATGCAATTCTTTGCCTAGGCATCATTACTTATACTTTTTACAATGTAACATAATAGTATTAGGACTCTCTACATTGTACTCAGAGCTCTCTATGCATTTTATTATAAGTGCTATCTTAGTTTTATAAATGAGTGAATTTCAATCACATTGTATACCTTCACCATGTATAAACTAGAGATAAATTTATCTTTTAATATATCTAAGATAATGAGCAGTGAATTTTAACACATAAATCATATCCAGGCAGCCTCTTAAGGTACCCTGGTTTTGTTACATATAAATACATGTTACTCACCAAAAACATCCTGCTTTTTTGTCTCTCTTTCCATTGAGATCTTGCAAAGTAATCTAAAAAAAAAATAAAAACAATATTTAATAAAATGCTTTAGTAAAATACGGGGCTAAATGTCTTTAGGGGTGAAAATTGGGAACTTGAAAACTCAGGGGAATGTAGCTAAGATATATTTGGAAACTCAGAATATGTAAAGGATGTACTAGATGAAAATAGGATGAGAGTTTGCTTCTTGAACACAAAAATAAAATATAGACTTGTAAGAATCATTGGAATCGCCGGGCGGTGGTGGCGCACGCCTTTAATCCCAGCACTCGGGAGGCAGAGCCAGGCGGATCTCTGTGAGTTCGAGGCCAGCCTGGGCTACCAAGTGAGTCCCAGGAAAGTCGCAAAGCTACACAGAGAAACCCTGTCTCGAAAAACCAAAAAAAAAAAAAAAAAAAAAAAAAAAAAAATCTATAAAAAAAAAAAAAAAAAGAATCATTGGAATCTTACAAGGAACAACTATTTTAAACAGTGAAATAGTCACAAAGCATAATAATAATCAAGGGTAAATTTTCAAATTTATGTATGATGTATATTAGAACTAAGCATTGGGATTTCCATTGCTTACTGTCAATGATTATTTCAGATTATTTGCCCTACTAAACCTCTTTAGGTCATTTCCCATGGCCATTACTACTGATATGTTAATTTTTATTAAATTCAGTTAACCTGTATATGAATTTGTTTGTACTTTTCAATGTACAGCTCCTAAGTCCAGATTCCAGTTAGCTGGCTTGTTTCCATTGCTGGAATAACCATTTTATGTTTTCAGCTGTTGCTAGGATCCTGAATGCTTATCACTTAAATACTGTTGTGAGGTAAATGGTCTTCCACCAACTTCTGCTTGCTCTTGCCTTGAATGTCATTGCAGATCACAAATTGAGTTTCAGGGGCTGGGAGAATGCTGTAATGTTGATGCAATATAGTTGCTCAGCATGATGGACCGTAATTAAGAGTATAAACTATAATGCTCTACTTATCACAGTATTTAAGCATGATTCCCCCCTTCTACAAATGACAACTTTCCATATAGACTGTAAAATTAAAAAGACACTGTAAGAGGATGTCAAATACTTATTTTATGTGTGTGCTGGGAGTAAAAAGTCATGTTCTCATGCTTGCACCGTGAGCAATCTGCCCATTGAGCATCTCCCAAGTTCCAACATCTTTATAAATTGAAATTAATAGACTAGAAAAGCAAACTTTACAATATTATTGGATGAGAGAGTACTCTTACAAAATATTTTTTATTAATTCTTTTAGAATATCATACAATGTATTTTTATTTATTTATTTATTTTTATTTTATAATTTAATTTAATTTTACATATCAGTCATGGATTCCCCTGTCCTACCTCCTCCCGGCCCCCTGCCCTCCCCCCAGCCCGCCCCCCATTCCCATTTCTTCCAGGCCAAGGACTCCCCTGGGGATTCAACTCAGCCTGGTAGATTCAGTCAAGGCAGGTCCAGTCCCCTCCTCCCTTTACCCAGGCAGAGCAAAGTGTCCCTGCATAGGCCCCAAGAGCTGTCTTACCTTGTCTTGGCAAGGATCAGCAGTCCTTTCTTTTGTGCTTTGCTTGTCCATTTTGAACAGCATACTCTCAGCAGTTGATGTGAGGACATTTCCTGGCAACACCAATCTACTTCAGAGAAGATGATGGGCATTGAAGAAACTCATATGGAATTTACTTTCATTGTGGCAAAAGTTAGCAACTGGGCATACAATGTATTTTTATCAGTCAGTCAAACTCTTTAACTCCTCACAGATCTGCCACCACCATCCTATCCTTTCCCAACTTCATGCCCTCCTCTTTTTAAAATTAATAATTCATCCACTCTAAGATGTACTGTCCATATACTTCTTGAATGGGACCATCCACTCAAACATATTTGATCTGGTAGAAGCATCACCCTTAAAGAAAACTGACTCTCCCTTCCCAAGAAACCATCAGTTGTCCATAGTTTCTCAGAGCTGGGACCTCATGAGACACTCCCTGCTATATGCTAAAATGCTGAATGACTTGATCCTGAGCAGGTCTTGTGCAGGCAGCTGCAACTGTTGGGAAATTCATGAGCACAGTGTTCCTGCCTTGTCTATAAGTCATTCTTTTGCCCTGGTCCTCCCCAACATTTGCCTTTTACATGCTTTCTCCACCCTTTCCATGATGGTACTTGGGTAGGAGGGTCTGATATAGATGTCCTATTTCTGGCTGAATATTCTATAGTCACTCCTTTATGTTTTGATCAGTTGTGAGTTTCTGTGCTAACCACCATCCACTGCACAAAGAAACTTTTCTGATGAGGTTTGAGAGGTGCAGTAGTCTATGGGTAGAGAGATAAGAATTTAGAAGGAAACTTTGGTAATATGTCCACTCACCCAAATGTCAGTAATATATTCACCCTTGTGGCTTGTGAGGTCCCCAGTCATTAGTTCTTGACCAGATTTGCAATACCAGGCATGGGTTTCCTCCTGGAGAGGCAGGACCTAAGTCTAATTAGAGAGTAGTTGTTTACTCCCATAACTGTTATGCCACTATTACACCCATGGACGTACTTGGAAAAAAAGAGTTCTTGATAGTGTTTCTTATTTTGATTTGTTCTTTTATTATGATTAATGTCAAACTTATGAATAGAGACCTCACAATCAGCTTATCTATATCTTTTTTTTGTTTATTTTAGGTCAAAAGGTGTGTTTTGCTGATGTGAAACATCCGTGCTACAAAATGGCCTACTTCCATGAACTGTCTAGCCGAGTGAGCTTCCAGGAAGCACGCCTGGCTTGTGAAAGCGAAGGAGGTGTCCTCCTCAGTCTTGAGAATGAGGCTGAACAGAAGTTAATAGAGAGCATGTTGCAGAACCTGACCAAACCTGGAACGGGGATTTCAGATGGTGACTTCTGGATAGGACTTTTGAGAAGTGGGGATGGCCAAACATCTGGTGCCTGCCCAGATCTCTACCAGTGGTCTGATGGAAGCAGCTCCCAGTTCAGGTAAGCTGTGACTGGACCCAGAAGTGTTTATCGATGCCCTGGAGGAGTCATAAGGGCAAAAGAAAGGCCCTGGTACCTAGGAACACTCAGACCACATGTTACTGAGTGTCCTTTTGGCTCTATATTTGTAGGAACTGGTACACTGATGAACCTTCTTGTGGAAGCGAAAAGTGTGTTGTCATGTACCATCAACCAACTGCCAATCCTGGCCTAGGAGGTCCCTACCTTTACCAGTGGAATGATGACAGGTGCAACATGAAGCACAATTACATCTGCAAGTACGAACCTGGTAAGAGACCTTCATAGCTATAGTAAATTTTGTTCATATTAGTCCTTGTCTTCATGGTTTTCAGCCTTCCTCTATTATTCCTATGAAAGAGGCATCACCTAACAACTCGCCCTGCTAATGTACTGAAGCTTGTTGCTTGCTGGAGAGAAAACCTGCCAGTGTATTGAATACAAGGGAATGGGTAGAAACATTTGTTGGGAGAGGCCTTTCAAGAGAAAATAATATTTTTTACAAGAACCAGACAGTGCTGTTGTAATTATATTTTGTAAATGACAAATTTCTATGTGAAAATATCTTAAAAACTTATAAGATTGTGTGTAAAGTAGGTATAGGCTGCCAAAGTGCTTATAGACTTGCACACTTGTGAGCAATAGTTCCTTGGTTCTTTCCTGCTGAGTTTAGGGGAGCAAATAGCTTTCCTCCGGCATATTATTTCACTGTGTTACAGCATAATACTTTCCATGTGGTCCTTTATCTGAGCTTAAATCCTTTCTCAATAGTTAAAAGAAGTAGGGTCACATTACACATTCTTCATCTGATTTGTATTTTTTGAGAAATGACACTTTTGTTAGTTTTCTTCTGAAATATTCAGTTGCTTGTCATACTCGGCAACTGGGAAAATTACCTTGACCTAAGTCACAGTAGTGTGGCTTCCCACTGAATGTGGTGAAATTGAGTTACTTTAATAAGACACTTCAATTGAATTTGGATTTAAACTAAAAGAAGGACTAATCAAAAATGTGGAAACATATATTTGATTGTCTTAGACACTCAAGTTAGATACTTAAGCCTTGATATATTTATTTTTCTATTTTTCTCTACAATATTGGGAAGGGCCATTTTAACTTTTCTGAAAGACTGTGACCTCATATTATGTTCCCATAGAAGGCAATTATATCCAAGTACACTATTCCTATTATTCTCTTGAAATTACACAATTTCTTTTCTCATAAAGCCATGAAGCACAAGGGATTATTGGATTAGACTTACCCTTCTCTTATGTTTATCCTGCTCTTGAGTATATTAGCCAACTTTTTATATCCCTGGTGAGTTTATCCTTTGCCCTGGGTTGCTAAATCTGTCATTACACTCCTGGAAGCCTTTGCAAAGCTAAGTCTGTTATTCATTTCTACTCTTTCTAATTGTGTCTTAGAGAAATACAGTTAAGATTCTGTGATATTTTAAATTTGCTGCAACACTTGACATTTATTAATGAGAGGGTTAAAGGAATGAGTATAGCTGTGCAACATGTATATATGTATTTTTATATTATACCCATGATCAGTTTGAAATTTATTATTTACTTTCATATTTCTACTCTCATACACTATCTAATAGCATGACCAATGGTGTTGAAAATGTTAAAAAAATTACCCTGGTTATTCAGAAATGAGAAAATTCAATTTTATTTTTGTCCTCTCCTCTACTGAAACACATATATATTCTTTTGGTTCACTGATACCCATTTTTTATGGCAGTACTTGTAAGTTATTTTTGTGTTAAACTTGTCTTTTGGATCTGATGAGGTGACTCGGAAGAGAAAGACACTTGTTACTAAGTCTGAAAACTGAGTTCAATCCCAGGAATTTTTACGGTGGAAAGAGAAAACCTACTTCCTCAAGTTGTCTACTGGACTTCACACGCACACCATGACACTCATGCTCCCAGTTAGACACAAACATGACATTCATGCTCCCAGCCACACACAAAATAGATTTAATTTAAAAAAAATTAACATTGTCCTATGGGCTTTTGTTTTTAGATAAAAATAGCTTATATAAAATTAAATTACTAGACTTTTATTTAATTCACAATCACATTGAAGTTTGTTAGAAATGTTTTAAGTGTAATTACTTTGCTGACTAATTTCATGTCTTTATAAATTGTTCCAAAACATCAGTTGACCACCTGCATTCATATACTAATGAAATTATTTAGAAAAATAACTATAGATTAGGAAGCTATTAAAGTATCAGTTAAATTTAAAATTTATGAAAACATTACTACAGGATGATGGGTGGTTAAACTACCAGTGAATTGAGATTGTAGGATAATATGAGGCATGAGAATTCTTTAAAACATTTATGTGTTCCAAAGACTACAGAAAATGTTCTATGTAACATAAAATGACAAGAATAAAGAGTCTAATTTCTTTGACCAATGAAAACATTTACAGTTGATTTTGTTATTATTGTTGTTGCTTGTTTGTTTTTGAGGCAGAGTTTTACTCTATGGCCCAGTCTGGCATGAAACTCAAAATATAGACTCATGGTGAACTACTAGGCTTGTCATGAATAAAAGGATGTTATAGGCTTATAGAGGGAAATTACAGTTTAATACTCCACCCTCAAAGAACTTCATTAAAGAAGAAATAGTCACAGATAGTCATGATGGGGTACCTGAAGAAAATACCCTTCATTCTTCTCCAGTTCCCTGAGAAGAACTCCATTCAGAGTGTCTCCATTCAGAGTAACAGGAGTTCTGAAGGAGAAGCTCCTTCAATTCCATTTATTTCTGGAGTATTAGAGAAGTTATAGCGTATACCTCAGGGGGCAAGACAAAGACCTCACAGGAGAGAGGATCACTTCACCTCAGGAGGAACAAAGGGAATGAATTCCTTGCTCTTATAACTTTACACATGTGAAATTTAGGGGTTGGAGGGGGGCAAGCATCACACCATGTGGCCTAACCTGTGTGCCAGGAGTTTGAATAGAGAGAGGTGTGTGTGTGTGTGGCACCAGATAAGAGTTATGGTTGGTTCAGACTGGGGGGGTATGGGATGGAGGTCTTGTTGTTAGGTGTAAGTGGAAGGAAGGAGACTTCAAAGCCACAAGAGCCTTGCTGATCAACTTGAATGTGCTTCACTACAGCAGGTGGGTGGTAGGTAGGTGGGGTAGATGGAAGGTTTGTAACCTATTCTTGCTTGCTAGTTTTTTTTCTCATTAATACAATTTTCTTTGGCTAAACTGTTAATGTCACAATTGGTTTTGTAGGGGAAAAGTATATAAAATGGTAGTACCAGACCATGCTAAGAAATCTTAAGAATTTCCCATGCATTTCAGAATTGAAAGATCTAATCACATAATGCTGGAACTGAAACAACCTGTAAAGCTTGACTTGCTATTATTTAAAAGAGCAGGCCCTATTGGAATTCACATCGAAGGATGTCCTTATTTGGGTAGCATAGACATGATTTTCAGATGGCTGCTGCTTAAATCAGCAATTTCGCATGCAACTGTGCAGTTATCTGCTCATTATACTGCACAGCAAAGGTTATTGCTTAGAGAATTTACCTTGTTTTCTTTTAAATTACGTCTCATGTCTTACATTTTAAGTTCACACATTATTGTTTGCTCCTGTCGCTTTGGGCCCCTTTGTCATTACTGATTGCAGCAAGCTGCCTTCAGCACTCTACCACTTCGGGTTGCTAAACGAAGTTTGGGATTATAGAAGGAATTGATCAAATTGGTTCTTTTATTCAGACATAATTAAATATTGACTATTGTTAGTTAATTTTATGTACATTTAATTCAGAATATATATTTGACTGCAAATATTCAGAAATCCAAATCAACCTTTTTTTTTTACCATTTTACTGATAAATTTGTATTTTTGTTGATGTCTGCATTTTCCTTATTTAATTATTATTTATTATTCCTACGCTCATTCTTTACAGAGATTCAGCCAACAGACCCCGTTGAAAAGCCGTATCTTACAAACCAACCTGGAGACACCCATGAGAATGTGGTTGTTACTGAAGCAGGTGAGTCCCTTGCTTGTGTTCTTACCTCTCACCTAAAGAATTGTGCTTTGCTGCCGGGCAGTGGTGGCGCACGCCTTTAATCCCAGCACTCGGGAGGCAGAGCCAGGCGGATCTCTGTGAGTTCGAGGCCAGCCTGGGCTACCAAGTGAGTTCCAGGAAAAGGCGCAAAGTTACACAGAGAAACCCTGTCTCGAAAAACCAAAAAAAAAAAAAAAAAAAAAAAAAAAAGAATTGTGCTTTGCACCAGTGCTTCACATTGACCCCAGGGAAACCTCTCTTGTGGTTCAGGGATGTAATGCATTAATTATGGGCCCATAGATATTTATTTTTGACCTACATTAGAAATAATTATGCAAGGGTGCATTTTGAATAGAATAACCTTTAAAATATTTCCATTTCAAGTATCTAATATGAAACTAAGGGATCGACATTAACACTTGTTATCTACAAAACATTTCCTAATATAATATAGTAGTTATCATGTATGCTGGCATATTTAGTGGCCTGGAATACTTTCTGCTGAATGTTCAGGGCTGGTCTTGTGGTAGAGATGAGGTATACAATAAGCATCATTATAGTGTGTGTATTCCTCCCTGGTGTAAATACTTCAATCTGATCAATTTCAGACTATCACTGTGATATCACTGTATGGCATGTTGGAAGGAGATGTACACAATGTGCTCGCTGCCACTGTAGAAGAGAGAGTAAAAAATGCAATCCCCAGTGCAAGTTCCTTATTAGCTAGTAACTCCTCAAATATTCCTTAAAACATTTTTTGACATGACCTAAATCCAGAGGGACAGAAATATTCATCCTATTTGTTTTGTGAATATTGATCCAAAGACCCAAGTGTTTCAAAACCAGTAACTCATAGATAGAGGCTCAGAAGGAAGGCTGAGCACTCCACAATCACGATTCTCTGGATTTTGATCCTCCTACGCAGCCCTATGGTCATAAACATGTGGGACACACACACACACATACATACACACACATACACACACACACAACATGAAGTAAGGAAGAAATAAGTAGAGGGATTTGTGAGAATTTGGAGTGGGGAATGAGGTGTGGGTTTGATTAAAATAAAGTGCATTTATATATGAATTTAAAAATGTGTTAAACAGCTGCATATCTCAGAATAACCTGTTACTAGATCTCATTAAATACACCACTTAGCAAAGAAAAAGATAAACAATGAGATGCATATATTATGGCCAACTTTAATCAGAATCATTATGATTCATGATATTGTTAACTAACTTTCAGTTTGCAAGCCAAATGCAATGTCTCCTAGTTTGTTTTCCTTATACAGACACGCTCTTAAGCCTTTGGGCCTTTTCTGTTTCAGGGATCTGATTTTAGCATCATCCATAATGTCTAAACACAATTAAAGTTGTCAGTAAATAATTAAACTACAGATATTTTTCCCCCTAAAGTATTGAAAGTGTGTATAATAGTGTCATTTCATGCTCTGTAGGTCTTGAGTGTTAGTGATTTTCTTCAAAATCTAAGAATGCCTGCCATCATTGAGAGGGAGAGAACAGGGTTAAAAGATGACCTATTTTCAGAATTTAATTAAATCATGTCATTGTCTCCAGAGTCTAATGTCTCTGGATTATGATTGCATCACTACCTAGTATGTGCTTATTGTCACTTAATGCCAGATGCTTACAAATTCTCATGACATTGAGCTTATTGGCTAAGATAATTCATTATCTACTAAGTCTACAATGATTATAGTAATTATTATTCCTTAATATAATGTCTTCACTTCTCCAATGATGCAGAAAAATTAATAAAATGAGAGAGCTAAGATTACTAACATGTTGTGGAAATTAGCCCATGTTTGAATTGGAAACGGAATAGAAATTTAAAGGCATGCATATTTAATTGAGAATGTGAACCAGGGCATTACAGTTTTGTTTATATTTTTTTTCAAAGTGTCTATGTATTTTTCATAAGCTCTTGTACTTGGAGTTTACCTTTTGGTAACAATTCTATTCTACCTTAACCTTTAGGGAAATTTGTTCATAAATTTACTTTTGAGTTCCTTCCTGAGCAATCACTGAACACTACAACTGTTTTATTTCTGTAGGTATAATTCCCAATCTAATTTATGTTATCATACCAACGATTCCGCTGCTTTTACTGATACTTGTTGCTTTCGGAACCTGCTGTTTCCAGATGTTGCATAAAAGGTAAAAAATATATTTGTTTCAAGATAATGAAGGAAAAAACCCTTAAAAGTACTTTGAGACACCTTTTAAAAATGTTAAAATGTTACTATGCCTTTAACTTATATTAAAGGATTTTAATGTCCTCGCCTGTCAGTAAAAATCCACCACGCGAAGAGTTATAGAATGTACTGATATTATCTGAGGAATCCAGCATCTCCTTTACATTTCACAAGTCCTACAAATTGCTTGCCTTACTGTTTCTGCTTTTCAGTCAGGAAAATGGTAGCTCAGTTGGGTCATCTTCAGTTGCCTTGCGTCGCACAGTTAGCACATGTGGTGGGTGTGAAGTGGGAGTGCTCATAAGCTCATGTGAGATGCACTATATTATATGGTCTCTGGATTGTTACATTAAATTGATGTTAAACCTTTCAATCTGGATATCAAGTTACATGTAAGACTTGGTTTTAAAGGCGTATATGTAGCATAGTTTCAAGATTCAAATATTAAGCTTCTGTTTTATTTCAAAAAGACATTTTAAGACTAGGAAATTAAATGTCATTGTGAAGACAGCAAGTTGAATGTGGTATCCTTGAGAGGCTGAAGCAGGATTACCACGAGTGTAAGTCCAGCTTGAGCTAGTGAGTTCCAGGACAGTCTGAGCTACATCATGAGACCTTGTCTCAATGATTAAAAAAAAAGTTCATTGTTTTCCAAACACACACACACACACACACACACACACACACACACACACACACACACACTGGGTACTATCTGGCAGATATTTTGAAATAAAGTGATATATCCTAATAGCAAGAATTCTAAGGACTTGTCAAACACTTGTTCATGCTTATCATTACCCTTGAGTCAGTGAAGTGAACTTTTTATGTGTGGTACAGTCTGTCAAAAAATTTCAATAAATGAAGTATAAATATGTATCAGATTAGAAACTAGAAGATGCATTTAGATAAGGAGAGATATGCTGGAATAAATGACCTCTTTGTTTTATGGTTAAATAACTGTTCGAAAGAAGGCTTCCATCAAAGAAGAAGGACCTGCAAATGAAATCATTTTTCTTTTTTTGTTTCATCATCTTCTTTTCCTTAAATAAATCCTAAAGTGCCTGAGAAGTAGCAACCCCCCTGAAAGGATATTAGCTGTACATGACTCATGTGTATTAATAACCGATCAAATCTAGATGTGCCTGGCACTACATGCCTACAGTCCCAGAACTCAGGAGGTCGAGGAGCAGAAAGATTGCTAGTTTGAGTCCAGCTGGAGTTCCATAACAAGAACGTATCTAAAGGAACAAGCAGACACCTCCCACCAGCCAAATCACACCAAAGGAAAAAAAACCCAAAATCAAAATCAAATAAAACATAACAATAATATATTTGAAAATATGAAAATAATTTAAACTAAAAATAAAGGGTATTAAAATGAAGTCTAGAAAATTAGTATTATATTTGTGATCCTCTTGACTTTCATTAAAAGACACATGAGACAATATACAATTTATTTCCCAGTATTTTATATATAATAAGCACAATACAAAGCATGTCATTTCTTGCCCTAATTCCAAAGACTATGGACAGAATTATGTTTGATTTCTCATTGGGAAAGCAGTGGTGTAGGAAGACTGTAAATTCCCTCTTAGCCCAGACAGACTGTTAAAATGGCCATTTAAGTAGCAAACTGGTTAGTAAACATTAAATACATGATTCAGACATGCTCACTTGTCAAGTTAAATGTGTTAATGTGTTGAGCAGCAGCCTCTCCTCTAAGGCTTGTTCTGTTTTTCCCAAATGGTGGTTGTAGTCATTCAAAAGATCTGTGACTGTTCCCACTTGTTTCAAAGTTTCAGAGTGAGAAAATAAACCCGAATTGGGCACCTTCGGTTGCCGGGATGAGCTGAAGTCCTTTGTTCGTCATTCTTAGAGCCTCCCCTTTTCCTTTCTTCCAGGAGAGCAAGGAGAAACCTCATCAAAGACTCCACTCCATTATCATCCGAGTGCCTTGCAGAAAGTTTAAATTCCAATCTGGTACACATGGTGGTTTCTCTCCTTCCATATCATTTCCAGAACAACTTTCCTTCCTTTAACTAGTAGAACTTTTTAAAGGAAATAGTAAAGCCACATTGACATCTTAACTGCTTTTCTTACCATTTAAAATACTCTGCTCTTCATAAACTTTGCCTGACTTATTTTTGCTTCATGCTAGTTGTACTTGGTAGAATTGAGTTATGTTGACCTTATTTGTTTGAAGAAATGTCCATATAACAAGCAATTTGGAATTTTACTAATCGCAACAACACTCGATTTGATATGAACAAAGTATTTCGCATTGCAATGATTGGGGCTATTTAGAAATAGTTCTTTTTCTTTGTCTTCAAGGAGTTCTGCAAATCTGCAGGATGATGGAATGGTGCAGGGGTGTGTCTGTGAGCGTGGCAAATGCTATTAGAGGCTTAAATGTGAATACCTAAGTGTAGAAGTAAGTACTAAACACAGGGAATGTGGACAGACCAGGTGAGAGATCATCCTCAGGAACCTAAAGCAAAGAAATGCAGATCTTGACATGTAATTGGAAAGAGAACGACTTGAGGAAACTTGCAAACAGACACTTGTGCAGGAGCCTGAGCAGTGAGCACTGTAGGAAAAACCATCAGAATCCCAGACACAGGCTATCATGGGGGCCTAGGTCTAGTTCTATAGGACAGAAGTTTTGTGTCAGACGTATCTTAGAGGAAGAACTCACAGGCATCTAAGTCACCACATATATGTCTGCTTTGCACTTCCACTGGTCTGAGAGACAGGCACAATTAAGCTTTCTGTACACAAGTGACCTACGTACAGCTCGGGACGACTTATGGTAGGAGGCAGACAGACATTTCTTACATTAGGTCCACAGCATGTGTTTAGATGATTTGACACCAACTGTAGCAACCATTATATTAGAGTATCCATAAAGCAAGATTTAGAAACCTGGCCAAGGAAAACAAGGCTTATTGGGGGAAAACTGAAAGTTTTAGTACTCTGCCAGGCATTATTATGCATGTGTGTTTGAACTGTCAACAGATGTAGGTATGTTTGTTGGTTTGTTTTCACCTCTCATGAGAACTGTTTGTCATCTTCACCCAGTGGGATAATCTAGACTCTTTTGTAGGAATGGAAAATATGCTGATGAGGAAAGAAGAACTCATAATATCTGTCTGAGCATCTCTCTTTGGACGAACACATGACCAGCCTGATAAGAAGATTCAGGAACTGAATTTATTTCTTTTTGTGTTTTTCAGTAAAGGAAGAACCAAAACTAGCCCGAACCAGTCTACACTGTGGATTTCAAAGAGCACAAGAAAAGAGAGTGGCATGGAAGTATAATAATTAACTGACTTTGCTCCATAAAATAAAAATAGTTTTGTAATTCTTGACCAGTGTAAGGAACGGCATCATTAGCTTGGAATGGCTTGAAATCTCAAAGGATCTGCAAGATGAACTGTAAGCTCCCCCTTGAGGCCAATGTCAAAATAAATTTTATATGTTCATAGTTTCACTTACAAAATATGCTGTGTTAATCATAGAGTGAGACCTGCTTACTCAGCTAAAGGATGCACCCAAACTTCATGTAAATGAAATGGACCATGCAGATAAAATCTCGGTGGGCACATCTGGAATCCCTGTGTTGGAAGTAGTTCCTTTTGCCTTTTGTCCCCTTTATCATTTTGATCTATTTCATGTAATATAAATTGTATTCAAATTTACAGTGTGTAGAAACATTGTACCTTTGCAAAAGTGTTTGATAAAATGGATTGTTCTGATATTTATATTTATGGCACTTCATTTTTACATGCATGCTGTTTTGATGAAATACTAAATTCACACAGACCCAAAGAAATCTTTCCATAGGGAATTTTTGTTTTGTTTTGTTTTGCAGGAATAGTTCATGTTCTTTCCATTTCTCTGCTTTTGGTTGCATAAGGTTTAGGAAATCTCTTCAGAAATAAGAAACTGTTTCATTGACTGTGCTATAAATCTCCTGAAACACTTTACTTAGAGGCAAGAACTGTCTAACTTCAATTGTGCAAGACACGTGCCTTACAATTATTCTTAATTTAAAATTAAACTGATTTTTGTAATAAAATATCTTTACTAATAGTTGTATAGACACCAATGTCGTTTATCTTGAAAAAAAAAATTGTGTCCACAGTACAAATCACAGGTCTTCACACGTTGCCTATAGAATTGCAAGTTGAGTTGTTCTGTGAGTGTCTGGAATCAGTGTGGCTTCTCCCTGTCAACCAAACAGGATGGCTGTTAAAGGATTTGGATTGAACCTAGAGTCAGACCACTGCAGTTCGGCTAAGGTATTCCTAAGTGAATTTGGCTCGTATTGATATGTAGGGCCAAATGGTTTTCAGCAGTGTGATGCTAAGCAGAACACACAGATATTACAGATTATGAACAAAACAAAACAAAAAATTCCAAGTCACACCAATTAATGCCCATGGGCTAGAGGTCACTGATGTTTGGATATCTTTGGTGCGGGTTTATTTATGATTATGAACTGTGGCTCCTTTGTGTCTGATCGAGTTTCTTCAACAAAGTAGCATTTGTTCTTCTCAAGAGAGAGTTGTAACTATTTTGTCTTTGAATGTCCCTGTGTTACTTTCAGCCAAATAAAAAGTTCTTGTTTCTGAGAATGATCATTGTTTGGTGTTGCCTAAATTCTTAAGTGAACAAAATGCATTATGTGTTTGCTCGTTACCTGAAGGTGAAAACAAACATTCCATGTGAAGAACATGGAAAGCAAGGACATAGCGTGAACAGGGAAACTTCTTAGTTTCTGTCAGTCTTTCAGTCGGACAATAAAGTAGTTTCCTTAAGCAGACTTGGTTTTCCAAAAAAGAGGCAAAAAAGGACCTCAGATCTTTTGCTACTGCTTGCAGACTGAGAACCGGCCACTGCTTTCTAAGTTCAGCGGTCCTCCTTCAGCCCTCATCCTTTCCGCACTCTCCATCTTTTGGGTCCAATGGGAGGCCAGCTGCTTGGATTTATGCCTTCCCTCCATGCCAACTCCGCCCGCCCGTTTCTTCCTCTAGTTAGAACTGTGAGAAGGGAAGCCGGGCTTTGCCTTTGTGTCACCCAGGACTCTAACAGCTGGAGGGTGGAAGCACACAGGGATAGGGGAAGGCCATTGTTCCCCCTTCTGTCATTATCCAGGTCAGGACAACTTCTGGTGCCAGTGACAAACTCCATCTGTGACAAGGGCGGGAAAACACATTTCCTTCCTATTAGACGATAACAATGACACTGCCCCAAGGGTTTCTGAAAGTTTTAGCTGGCCCATGAAAAACAAACCGACACGCGATGTAACTGCTCTGTATTTTCAGAGCATAGCTTAAATACAGGTTGGGAAATGCCATTAAATATGGAGCTGCCTTCAGGTATTCAAAACAAATGACACACCCACTCTTTATGCTCCTTTGCCCTTGCTGGGATCAGGTTAGTAGCAAGTTTGTGCTAAAAAGAATGTGTTCAAAGACTCCTGATTATTTATGCTGCTGCTTATGGGAATATCTAGTCTTCCATCATCTTGTCAATCCTTCTTTTAATGACATGTTTTCCATGCTCTGACTGTCTTTAGGTACAATATGATTGTCTCTTGAACTCTGTCCTCAACCTTCAGGGTCATTCCTATCGGCATAGTTGTTTCCAGTGTCTCTTAAGTACACCAATTATAATCATTCTCTCTAAGTGTAGCTGAAGCTTTCATCCTTCTTTCCTCCCTCCCTCCCTCCCTCCCTCCTTCCCTCCCTCCCTCCCTCCCTCCCTTCTGTCCACAAAGGAAATCGTGACAATTGCTTCTTTTTATTCAACTCATTTGAATCTCTTTTATCCTTCCATTTTTTCAATTCATGCAAAAGTGTGTGTGTATGTGTGCTTGTGAAATATGTCTCTGTGTGTGTGCATATGTGCATTTTGTGTTAAGTTGCTATGGATTTCAGTAGATTCTGTTCCAAAAGCTAAACTGACATTTGTAGTTACTCTGGAAATGATCCAAGAGATTACAGTAGTAAAGCAAATTAATTTATTACACATTTTTGGCTTTAATGGTCAATTCAACTGTGCCTGAACAATTTTTTCATGTTAAAGATATTCTGTAAACATACAAACTAAGAAAAACTTTTAATAACTGAATTTCTTCAAAATACTTGCTTTTTTTGAGATTTAAAAAAACACCAGTTTGAAGTAAATGGTTAAGTTCAAATGACTCAGATAAAGACTATTTGTGTAGAATGACATCGTTAGGCAGTTTACTTTTACATTGATGCTCGGTCAGGAGAGAGACGTATGTGTGTTTTCTTTACCTGGACGAAAGTGATAGTTATGATGAGATCATGTTTTCAATATGAGTTTAGAATATATGTACTTTTAGGAGCAGGGAAAATATTGCGTGTAAATAGAAATGCATGCAGATGCTAGAACAAGAAAACAAGGATGACTCTAATGGTACACGAAACTGAAACCAGATAAGTTACATCAGTTCATTTGAAACAGCATCATACTTCAGACAAACTATCACATTTCCTTTCTTTACCTGTTTTTGATTAAATGTGTGGAAAATGTCTTAAAATAATAACACTTCACACAAAAGAAAATGGCAAAAATGTATTCAAAATAAAGGAAATGATAATGTCTATAAATAATAATTGTTTATAATGAAACAAGAATGCAATTTAGAGTTATTTTATGTTGCAAAAATTGACTTTAATTTCTTATTTTGTCTCTCTTCCTTTTCCCAGTATTTACATGATTTAGTTAAAAAACAAAAGCTTGTTTTTTTCTTCTCATGAAACTCTCAGTTGCTGTGCTACTTTGAGTAAAAAGGAAAAACAAACAAACAAACAAAAACTGCCCAATTTTCACATTAGGAAAATGCCTAATGTAGAAAACTTTGTATCCACTCAATAAACTCTGAGACCCGGGTGTATACCCCAGGGCGATTAGGCAGTGCACACTGGACTCCAAATGATGTCACACCAACAAGAAACCACCTGTTGTTTTCTTGGCACATTAACGGTCCTCCCGAATCACCCTAAAGTGTGAATAACAAAGAAAAGTTGTGGGTACATGGCCAATCAGTATAAACAACTGTGCTAAGCTCACCAACCAAAAGATAAATGTACAGAAATATGATTGATTGCCAGATGTTTCTGTATTCTCACCATCAGCCTAGTCATTAGAAATTTGCTCCTCAAGGAGATGGGGCAAATGGTAACAATAGAAAGTTTATAATTATGAAGGAGCACTTCTTAGCAAGTAACTCTTCCTCACCTTCATTATTGTATTTCAATGTACTTAGACATTCTCTAAAGTGCTACAATAAAAAGTCACGTCAATATCAACGGACTAATCACTTTATTAGGTAACAGGCGAAGTATCAGAAAAAGCCTTCACATAAAAGGCAAAGCTATTCCACATCATGATTTTAGAAGAGTGGAGAATTCACACATGGTTTGGGATTTAGTTCTCCTACGTGACTGAAAATTTTGCCAACCATCAATCAGATTTGAAAACCTTAACATTTCAACCCAAGTAAGCAAATCTCATGTTTCCTAGTAATCAGAACATGTGTTTTCATTTAGACTTCAGTTATAGGAGGATAGCATTTTTGTTGTTGTTGTTTTGAGACAGGGTTTCTCCGTGTAGTTTTTTTTGTTTTTGTTTTTGTTTTTGTTTTTGTTTTTTGAGACAGGACCTCACTGTGTATGTAGCCTTTGCTGGCCTGGAACTGGCTATATAGATCTGACTAACATTGAACTTACAGAGATCTGCCTGCCTCTGCTGAAATTAAAGGCATGTACTACCCAGCAAGTTATTTATTTTTATACCACAAAATAATATGAAACTCTATAATTGATCAAGAATCACTGCTATAATAGAGCATTTAAAATTTGGCTCAATGTTAGGAATTATCCTGAGACACCTCTTGGTGCTATATTTAAAGGGAAAAAGGTGGCGTGACACTACTGATAAATAATTCAGTTTCTGAATGAAAATGAAATGACATTCATCCACTTATCAATAAGAAGATATTCTATAGTCTCTCTTATTGACTTTAAATTCAGAAGACTACCTCGAATATGCAAAGGAACTGGGTCTGACTGATGGGAAAAATTTTGAGGATAAAAAAATAATGATTCAATGAATGTATTCAAACAATGATATGTTCAACTTTTTAAATGCTATGTTATTATTTAACCAGTTAATATTAACGTTGAACCAGGAAAATTATGTGGCAATCTAGGGTGATGCTTACTCAGTTATAACAACTTTCTATTGAATGAAATATTTCTGTGCATTAGGAATTTCTTCCTTGCTACTGAATAGCATGCTTAGATCCTGTAGAAAGCAGAGCCAAGCATAAGATTTCACAGATCTGGAATGAGTTACTGGCATACTGTAACTCTAAGATCAAAAGCATTAGCCATCATATTTTCTACCTCATTTGTGAGGTGTCTACGTGCAACCCCCATTAACTATAATGGAAGTTGTACAGCTGATTTCCTTCTTGCAACTTATTCTATCAATCACATCTTAAGTGGTAATGTATCTTATCTTTAGCACATTTTTCATTTTGTAAGGAAAGCCTAAAGATCCAGAGGTAAATTTTAAACAATTGTAAAGCTCTTTGATTTGTATTGAATTTCCAAGTGTTCATCAAAGCAGAATAAAGGT